CAAGAGAAGGGCAACGCCAAGATGCCGAGAGTCACCAAGTCCGGAAATCAGACGGTGGCCACCATCAAGAATAACATCCCCTGTCGGAACCAGTGTCTCAGAGAAGCAAACGGCATCCCACTGCACGTTCTCAAGCTCGGCCAAAACATTAATTAGCCGATCTGCTGCGTGTATTCTTGCATTTTTACAATATACCAAAAAGGCTCCCGTGGAAAAGTCACCATCAGGACTCTGAGCTGATCGGGTTGCTCCTTAATGGGATGTTCTGCCCTTGTCCTTGCCCTTGCCTTTGCCGACACCCTTCTTCCCAGTGCTCCGGGAAAATTTGTCCTGGCTCTCTTGCAGGATCTTCCTCCACTCCGCGCTCGTGACGTAGTCCTCCCACCCGGTCCCGTACTCGATCTTCAGGGCGCCATCCGCCACGATCGTTTTGAGGACCTTCTCGTTCCCCATGTGCAAAGTAAAAGTATCCTCGTCCACCCACATTGACGTCTTCACATAGCCCCACCCGGAAAGCATCCACTTGGCACCGAAAAAGGGTTTGGCGTGCGACGCGAAGTCCCAAAGGCTGCTCCTCTTTGGCCCAGACCCGCTTCCCATCAGACATATCGTATTTGAGACTGCGTATTGTGGCAACTGCTGTGTCACGGTCCTCTTGCTTAGAGAACTTTGCAAAGAGAAGGCCTTTGAAGTCCCCTTCACGTCATTTTCGGTAGCTTGAACAACGCATCCTTCCCAGAACCGGTCTTTGATCCATTTGGATGCCTCCAACTCGTCCCCCAAGCTATCCTGCCCGCCGAAGACAGCGATCAGATTGGTCTCATCGGTGCCGGTCTGCATGAGGGTGCGCATCTGGACCTCCAGTTGCGCGATTTGCTGTGTGAGGTCACGCTGGAGCTGCATGTCTTGTTGGCTCCCATCCCTCCCAACTCCTGTATGCTTTGCTGCTTCCTTGAACCTCTGGAGGTCCTCGTTCACAACCTCGATCTTGCTCAGCAGCTCCGCGTTCTTCTCTTCCATCCCTTCGAACCTGTTGTCAACGCTGGACTCCACTCGTGCTACGTCGTCCTGTAGCTCCCGTGCTGTGTCAAGTACTGGCCGGAGTCGCTCATCGAACTTCTTATCCAAGAGCTCCGCGATGGAACTGAGGGTGACGGGCTGAGAGCGAGCATCCGGAGGCGTGGCAACCGCCGGCCTCGCCTCCTCCTCCACCCCCTCGTCGCCGTCCATGGTGTTCAGCGGGCTGAACAGCCGCTGTCGAACATCCCGTTCGCCTCTCAAAGGCGTGCCGGGCTGACGTGTGTGAGGCCTGCTGCCGGCGCCTGCATCGTCTGCCATTGCGCGCGGCTGGGGGCAAGGGAGAGAAAGAGGGTAAGGGATGGGGCCGCGGAGGGAGCAGGAGCGCAGCGAGGGATGCCCGGGGCGGCCGCTCGCCGGCGGGCGGGCGCGCGCGGGCCCCGGCCTTGAGGCAAAAGGATTTGACTGGGGCATCCCCACAATTTACTACACCATTCGTCTTAACAAATTCACGCACTTACGAAGATGAAGGGCCAGTTGTTTACAACACGCGCCTGTGGCATTAGCGACGTGTGCATTCGCTTTCTAGAGTTGCCCAAGAACTGAAAGGATCGAGGCTGGTACGGTGTCAAGACGTAGGAGAGAGCGTGATCCACCGCCGCTTTACTCTGGAAAATTCCCCCCCCTCTTTTTCCGGAATCTGGGGGTCCCCCCCCCCCGCCTCCGAAAATCCCCCCCCCCTGCTGGACCCCCGGGGCCCCTCCCCTAACCCCCCCCGCCTTCCCGCTTTACTCTGGAAAATTCCCCCCCCTCTTTTTCCGGAATCTGGGGGTCCCCCCCCCCCGCCTCCGAAAATCCCCCCCCCCTGCTGGACCCCCGGGGCCCCTCCCCTAACCCCCCCCGCCTTCCAGAAAACGGGGGGGGTCACTATCGGTTCGAACCCCTCCCCCCCCCCCTCTCCGGAAAACCCTTAGGGGTCACTAACGTTCGAACCCCCCCCCCCCCGGCCCCCCCCCTCAGAAAACCAGAGGGGGGTCACTACCGGTTCGAGCCCCCCCCTCCCTCGAAAACCGGGGGGGATCACTACGGGTTCGAACCCCCCCCCCTCTTCGAAAACCTGGAGGGGTCACTACCGGTTCGAACCCCCCCCGCCCCCTCGAAAAAACCGGGGAGGTCACTACCGGTTCGAACCCCCCCCCCCACGCTCACCGCCAGCAAACGACTCCCGGGTCCCTAACACCCACTGCTGTCCCCAGCACCACTGTCCTCACCACCACTGTCCCCGCTGTTCCCACAACCGTCTCCACTGTCCCACCAGTGCCCCCACCACTGTCGCACTGTCCCCACTGTCCCCACCACTGTTCCCACCACTGCCCCACTGCTCCCACCACTGTGCCCACTGTCCCCACCACTGTCCCCACTGTACCTCTGTCCCATTATCCCACCGCCGTCCTCGCCACCGCCCTCACCACTGTCCCCACCACCACTGTACCCTCCACTGTCCCACTGTTTCCACCACATTCCCAGTCCCCACACCACTGTCCCCACCACCACCGTCCCCCCACTGTCCCACTGTCCCCACTGTTCCCACCATTGTCCCCGCTGTCCCCACCAGTGCCCCCACCAGTGTCTCACTGTCCCCACTCTCCCCACCATTGTCCCACCACGGTCCCACTCTCCCCACTTTCCCCACGGTCCCCACCACTGTCCCACTGTCCCCACTGTACCCACCACTGTCCCACTGTCCCCGCCGCTGTCCCACTGTGCTGTCCCACCGTCCCCACTGTCCCCATCACTGTCCCACTGTCCCCACTGTCCCCACCACTTTCCCCACTGTACTACTGTCCCACCACTGTCCTCACCACCGCCTTCACCACTGTCCCCACCACTACCGTCCCCACCACTGTCCCACTGTCCCCACCACTGTCCCGCTGTCCCCTCACCACTGTCCCCACCACCACCGTCCCCACCACTGTCCGCACCACTGTCCCACTGTCCCCGCACCACTGTCGTCCCCACCACCACCGTTCCCACCCACCACTGTCCCAGCATCCCTACCATTGTCCAACTGTCCCGAAGAGCGGGAATCGTCTCCCCGCAGCGAGGGGGGGGGGGTCGAACCGGTAGTGACACCCCTGGTTTTCGAGGGGGGGGGGGGGTTCGAACCGGTGACCCCCCCCTTTTCATGATGGACTTGGGGGGGGGGAAGGGTTCGAACCTGTAGTGACCCCCCCTCGGTTTTCGAGAGGGGGTGGGAACGGCGGGTTGGGAACCCCCAGTGACCCCCCCAGTTTTCCGCCAGCAGCGGTAGAAGACGCTCTTTCAAACGTAGCTCTCGCTCGAGACATCCTCGAACTCGTCGACTCGAAGTTTTGGAATGTGCACTAATTGCATGAATGGAGAGCTGCTCTTATTCAAAATGGTGCCCTAACTGGAGCTACACATGTTGCGCCTATAGAATTGCCCCTGACTGAAATGCCCACAGGGTGCTCGCCATTCACTGGGCGTGCATCCCGCAGTGACAAAGGGTGCACGTAGAGACTAACGGGTGGGGGAATTGGGACAAGAGGGTGTCTTGCAGCATAGCAGATACATCTTTGCGTAACTCTGGTCCTTTTCCTCTTCCTCTTGCTCCTCCTCCTGCTCCTCCTCCTCCTCCTCCTCCTCCCTCGTCTCCCTCCTCGACCTGCGCATCCCTTCTCCTCCTACTTCTCCTCCATCCTCCCTCGTCGTCTGCGTTCTTCTACCTTGTCCCCCTCCTTCTCCTCCTCCTCCTTCTCCTCTTCCTATTCCTCCTCTTCTCCTACTCCCTCGTCTTCTTCCACAACGCGTTCTCGTGTCACTCTCGTAGCTGTTCCTTGTTTGTTGTAGTCGACGGGCATAACTCGCGAAAGGCCGAGACACTCAGTGTGAGACATCTCGCAGATGTTCCTCGTCCCCCCCCTCCTCCTCCTCCGCCTCCTCCTCCTGAACTTCCTCTGTTGTCTCCGTCGTCTCCCTCCTCGACCTCGCCCCAGCCCTCCTCCCCAGCCCTCCTCGACCTCCTCGACCTCCACCCTCGTCTCCCTTCTCGACACCCTCCCCTGGGAAAACCAAAAGGTACCGATACTGCTACTCCCCGGCAATACCCGGGGTGCGTTCTGACCCGGATTTCGAGGCGAATCCAGCGGTAGCGACAAGGGCCCCCCAGGAGGCCCCCAAAGAAGACGAATAAGAAGAAGAATAAGAAGAAGAAGAAAAAGAAGAAAAAGAAGAAGAAGAAGAAGAAGACGACGAAGCAGGGGTAGCGGATGTTAGCGGGCGGTATCGCTACCTTTGGCTCCTCTGAACCTCGATCTCCTCGCCCTCCTCGACCTCCTCCCCAGATTGCCATCGCTCGGACGTCCATTCCCCGTGCATGTTTAGGTTTCGCGCGTGTCTCTTGTGTCCGAAGATGACACAATATGCTCCTTGATGGCCCTCGCCGAAGAGAAAACAAACACGTCCGAGCGATGCCAGGGTTGAGCAAGAACCGACCATTCCAGCATTCCTATAGGGCTACCACGAAGTGTTCTTAGAAGAACGACATGTTCTAAGAACACAAGCCATATTCTTCGAGCATGTACTTGATGTATTAACAAGACAACCTCAGCCATACATATCCTGAGAACTCTGTGCGCACGCCACGCAAGGTTCTCAGAACAGTTCTTGGTGGGCCTGAAGGCAAGCCAGGACTCTTCGCCACTGCGCGACAAGGCCCTCTCCCGCCCTCCCTCGCCCGCAGGTGTCCTGTGGTGTCTCATTGTATCTGGCGTGGCCAGCATGATGGGCCTGTTTTCCACCACCACCACCACCATAAGCTGGAGGGTGGGAAGGAGGCGAACGAGGACGAGGAGGAGGAGGAGGAGGAGGAGGAGGAGGAGGGGAACCCCCTCCCCCTCCAACTTATGGTGGTGGTGGTGGAAAGCAGGCCCATCAAAGCAGCCCCGCCGCGGGCCCGTCGCCCGCAGGTGGCTCGGGAGGTCGAACAGCAGCTCGGTCCGTAGCAGCACGGGGCAGATGCGGCAGCCGTCGGAGGTGCAGCGGTCCTCGGGGGCACGCCGCCGCGCCGAGCCGAGCCGCACCGCCGCGGGGGCAGGGCCCCAAAGAAGGCCTTCTCAGAAGGCTCGGATTGTTTCCCTGCCTTCTGAGAGGTTGCCTAAGCCTTCCCCGATGACGCAGAAAACCTGTCAAAAGCTTCTCAGAAAGCCTTCTCCTTCTCCCTTCCCCCCCTCGCTCGCCGCTGATTAAATTGACCGTCGTCATGTTCCGTCCTACCGTTCTCTGTGGTGGCTGGCTCTTCGCAGCGAGGACTTGTGGGCTGGTGTCGCTTATTGTGGTACCCGCCAACTTTCCCGACGATGTGTAGATGCCTCCCCGATGGGGTCTCGCCGCTGCATCGCCGATGTCGACATTGCACTGGAAACGCACCGACGACGCATCGGCCATGCGGCGCGAACTTCCGGCCCCATCTACTCGGACCCTGTCTGAGAGAAGGCCTGGAAAGATGTGTTTGTTCAGTCCGGGCGTTCTCCCTGGAGCTTACCCCCCCGGGGGTGGGGCCCTCCTCGGGCCCTGGGGCGGTCCAACATGGATCCAGGACGAAGAACTGCATCTGGAGAAGTGGCCAGGACCTCTAGGCTAGGGCTCCCAACTTCGCGCTTCGCGCTCCGCGAAGCGCGAATAACTTCGCGCTCTCGCGCCGCCCCCCCAAAGGGAGAAAAGGAGGACGAGGAGGAGGGGGAGAAGGAGCGAGGACCGCGAAGCGCGAAGCGCGAATAACTTCGCGCCCTCGTGGGAGCCCTTGCTCTAGGGGTGTGGGCTGCGTGGGACGCGTCGGGCTTCCACGGCCGCCCCGAGGCGCGCCGCATCGAGCCGCCGCCGCCCAAGGGGCGTTGGACGAACGTCGTGCACACGTTACAGTCGGACCCTGGGACACAGAAGAACATCGTTCGAGAACATGCTAGGGCTCCCAACTTCGCGCTTCGCGCTCCGCGAAGCGCGAATAACTTCGCGCTCTCGCGCCGCCCCTCCAAAGGGAGAAAAGGAGGACGAGGAGGAGGGGGAGAAGGAACGAGGACCGCGAAGCGCGAAGCGCGAATACCTTCGCGCCCTCGTGGGAGACCTTGACATGAGACCCTGGGCCAACCAAACCACACAGAACATCGAAGGGTACCCTCCCCAGGATGCACACGAGCATCCAGCAAACACGAAGAACATCAGGGTGCCCTCCCCGAATCGAACTCCACCTTGCACCTCGATCCGGCTGTAACACGAATTGTCTTGTCTACCGGGTTGTCTTTGGAGAAAAGGGGAAAAGGAAGCGCAGGTCACTCGCGACTCACCGCATGTCACCCACAGCCTGCCAGGGCCGCTGCTCCTCCTGCTCCTCCTCTCTCGCCCTCCTAAGAATAGACTAAGAAGACGAGAGTACGGCATAGTCATAGACTTTCGGAGGTCCGCGCGGCTTTGTGGATAGGTGCTGGGCTCTCCTGTGGGCGCCTCCGCCCCTGACCTCGAACCTCCACCCTCTAGCATCAATCCTCGGCCCTCGACCCTCGGACCTCGAATCTCGATCCTCGACTTGAGGGGTAACGGTAATTGGGGGGGGGGCCTGGCTCACGGGGGGCGGAAACATCAACCTGGCATCGGCGATACGTCGCCCGATAAAACGGCAAGGTCCCCCCGACAGCAAAACCGCACCACCCTGGCCCTGGTGCGCTATCGGGCCCCTATCGGCGATGAATGGGCGATTGGGGGTCGATGCATGGTCGAACCCCTTCTAAGCCCATCCCTCCCTAACTTTGCCCCTGGTCGACCACCTTCCCCTGCATGGCCTTTCCGCGTTGCCTCGTCTCCCGAACGGCCATGGGGCCCCGAGGCACGTCAAGCAAACCTCGAGCCGACATGTGTGTAGCCAAACTTTCTGAGATAATATGTCATTAGAAGGCCCAGGGTTCGCCAGGGACTGGCTTCCTTTCAAGACAGCCGAACCCTTGCCGAGAAAACCTCCGAAAATTATCCAGGAAGGGTTCCAGCCGCTTTTTTTCTGAGGGTTTCGTGGGGGGGTGGGAAGGATTTTCATCGTTTTGGGCGCAAGCCTCGTTTGTTGTTCTGCCGGCGCGCGCTCCTCAGACGGCTCCGCTCGGGTGCCCCAGGCTGGGAGGGGGCACGATGGACGGGCCAGCTCCGGGTGGGCAGCTTCGACCTGGAACCAGCGACGCGCCGCGGGTAGATCGGCGATGGGCCCCCGACAGCGACGCCGCGCGCTTCTGGGCAGGGTGGGGCTATATCAGGCCACTCGGAGACCAGGCGGCGATTTGGGGGCCGATGCAGTTCCCCACCCCCCAACGCTGCCGCCCCTGACAGGAGCAGCCTGTCGTGCTGGAATCAGTTTTGGGGTCCAGAAGTCCGAGGGGTCCAGGACCCCCTCGTGAGTTTTTTTTTCTCCGGCGTTCCGTTCGACATTGGGCAAGGGGGGGAGGGGTGGGTCTGGCTCCGGACCTCTGCCCGGGGCGACTGTTTGCAGCGGTGCATCCTGTGGGGGGAGACCCCCCCTGCTCGAAACAGGCGCCCGAAACAGCCAAATCTACTCCAGGGGTAAAGGGGGGTGCAAGGAACGGCCCCAATCGGCAAAACAATGAATTATTCACTGCGTGGAGCTCCCCATATGTGCATCTACTCGCATGGACCTGTCCGCCGTGAATGTCTAGGCGCAAGAGCTTTCGAATATTAACAGGCTTCAGTTGTGACGGTCTGGACATCAATCTAACTGCGAATGAATTGGAGTGTGAATGAGCCTCAGTAGTACGAGCGCGTCTCTGTGCATGAGCCTGGGGCCTCCTGGGGCCTCCTGAAACCTACTGGGGCTTCCTGGGGTCTCCAGGAGCCTCTTGGGACCTCCTGGGACCTCCTAGGAAGGTTTCGTGCCCCAGGAGAGGCGCAATCTATAGCAACAGACGTACATAAAACATTGCGGATTAGAGCCACAGGAGAAGGGCAATCTATAGGAACACGCGTAAAACACCAAGGACTCGTGCCCCAGGAGAGGCCCAATATATAGGAACATGAGTAAAACATTTAGGATTGTGTACACAAGAGAAGGACCATCTATAGAAACATACGTAGAACATCAAAGAATCGTGCTCCAGGTGAGGCCCAATCGATAGGAGCATACGTAAAACACATGGGATTGGAGCCACTCCTGTTGCCTTCTGAGGCCTCCTGCTCCTGGGGCCTCTCGGGGCCTCCTGTTGCCTTCCGAGGCCTCCTGGCGCTTCCTGTTGCCTCCTGGGGCCTCCTGTGGTTTCCTGAGGCCTTCTGGAGCTTCCTGGGGCCTCCTGGAGCCTCTTGGGACATCCTGTGGCCTCTTGAGTCTTTCTGTGGCCTCCTGATGCCTCCTGGTACCTCATGTGGTCTCCTGGGGCCTCCTGGAGTCTGGCCCACCTGGGGGGTGAAAATTAGCGCCTCGCTCGAGACATCCTCCAAATCTGCTCCGAAAGCGAAGGATTTTGGGCCCAGAAACAAGCAAACCGCCTGAGACATCCCCACAAAATGGCCGCGAACGAGCCCGTGCAACCACCCCTGGCGGCTCCCCTTAGGGCCACGAGCCTGGCCACCAAAACAAGCAAACCGATCGAGACATCCTCAAAATCTGGCCCACCTGGGGGGTGAAAATGAGCGCCTCGCTCGAGACATCCTCCAAATCTGCTCCGAAAGCGAAGGATGTTGGGCACAGAAACAAGCAAACCGCCTGAGACATCCCCACAAAATGGCCGCGAACGAGCCCGTGCAACCCCTGGCGGCTCCCCTTAGGGCCACGAGCCTGGCCACCAAAACAAGCAAACCGATCGAGACATCCTCAAAATCTGGCCCACCTGGGGGGTGAAAATGAGCGCCTCGCTCGAGACATCCTCCAAATCTGCTCCGAAAGCGAAGGATGTTGGCAAGACAAACAGGCAAACCGCCTGAGACATCCCCACAAAACGGCCGCGAACGGGACCGTGCAACACCCCTGGCGGCTCCCCTTAGGGCCACGAGCCTGGCCACCAAAACAAGCAAACCGATCGAGACATCCTCAAAATCTGGCCCACCTGGGGGGTGAAAATGAGCGCCTCGCTCGAGACATCCTCCAAATCTGCTCCGAAAGCGAAGGATGTTGGCAAGACAAACAGGCAAACCGCCTGAGACATCCCCACAAAACGGCCGCGAACGGGACCGTGCAACACCCCTCGGCGGCTCCCCTTAGGGCCACGAGCCTGGCCACCAAAACAAGCAAACCGATCGAGACATCCTCAAAATCTGGCCCACCTGGGGGGTGAAAATGAGCGCCTCGCTCGAGACATCCTCCAAATCTGCTCCGAAAGCGAAGGATGTTGGCAAGACAAACAGGCAAACCGCCTGAGACATCCCCACAAAACGGCCGCGAACGGGACCGTGCAACACCCCTCGGCGGCTCCCCTTAGGGGTGCTGAAACCAGCGCCCCGCCTGAGACATCCTCGCAATCTGCTGTTTATCGAATAAGTCAGACAATGAGAAGGTCTGAGTATGAGTAATTCTGAGTATGAGTAAGTCTGTGTATGAGGAACTCTGAGTAAAAGGAGGAGGAGAAGGAGGAAGTCTGAGTATGAGTAAGTCTGAGTATGAGTAGGTCTGGGTATGAGTAGGTCTGAGTATGAGTAAGTTAATGTGATCAGGTCTGAGTATGAGTGAGTCTGTGTATGAGTAAGTCTGTGTATGAGTAAGTCTGTGTATGAGTGAATCTGAGTATGAGTGAGTCTAAGTAGGAGGAGACGAGAAGAGGGGAGGAGGAGAAGAAGGAGTAGGAGGCGTCCAAGTAATAACAAGAACCCCATCTTAGGATATGGGGAATAAAATTGCCCCCCAACAAAACCAATCAGTGGATGGTTTGATGAGATCGATCATGAGATCGATAGTGAATCGTGGAATCGATAAAAAGATCGATAAAACGATCAACCGGGAACCCGGGAACCCGAGAACCTGGAATCGGGAATCTGGGAACCCAGCCAGCTACCAAACTCGGCGGGAACTTTCGCCAAATCTTTCAATATCCACTAGGACCCCTTCAGTGCAAGCACTGATTGGGGCACAACGATCACCTCCCTGGGGATAGTTTTCCGCCCCAGATCCAAGCTTGATTGCCCCGGGTTTGACGCCTCCCCCCCTGAGCCCATCCCCGTCGCATTTTGCCCCTGACATGACGCCTCCCCCCCCCCGTGACTGCACCAGAGCATCCCCTGCGGATGGCCGTCCACGATGAAGCAGGTCATCACGCCAGGCGTGTCCATGTACTCCTGGGCCCAGGGGAGCTGCTGCTGCTGCTGCTGCCGCCACCGCCGCCGCTGCTGCTGCTGCTGCTGCTGCTGCTGCTGCTGCTGCTGACTGCACCGATGCCCATGTCGATTGGCAAGAGCTACACCTACTTGTGGGCACGGCAGAGCCTGGATTTCTGTTTTACCAAGGGTCGGGGATGGACAGACCTCCCTTTAGTAAAACGTGGTTTAGTGTAAACGCTTTCGGGCCCAAACCTGGCGGGCGCAAGCCTGGAAAATAACGGCCACGGCGCCTCTCGAAAACCGAAAACGGACAATTCACTAATCGACGTGTCACTGTTGGGGGTTCTGTCCACACCCGAAAAGGGGCCCGGGACTCCAACATGGGAACGCCGGGCCTGCTGCCGCAGCTCGGGGCGCGCACGACGCCAGCCCCCCCCCCCCCCCCGCAGGCAGCCCCAGCTGGCCTCCACGGGTCCCCCGGGCAGCAGTCCGCGGCGGCTCCCTCACCTCGGCGCCGCCTCCATCCTCCTCCTCCTCCTCCTCCTCCTCCTCCTCCTCCTCCTCCTCCTCCGCCTCCTCCTCGTCATCGTCCTCCTCCTCCTCCTCCTCCTACTCCTCCTCCTCCTCTTCCTCCTCATCCTCCTCCGTCCTCCTCCTCCTCCTCCTCCTCCTCCTCCTTCTCCTCCCCCCTGGGGCACTCCGCGCACGAGGGGTGGGGTGCTGAAACCGCCCTGGAACACTTGGGAGGCCTGCTGAGGCCAGCTGGGGCTAGTTTTAAAACGGGCCTGTCCCCCTACAGGGGGATTTTCGACAATTTGTTTCATGCTCGAAACATACTCCAAAAATAATCTGGGGACTATTGTTTAGTATTGTTCTACCTTTGCGTGATTTTTTACCATATATATATATATATGCGTCGAAAATCCCCCTGTAGGGGGACGCGCCCGACATAATACTAGTTGAGGGAACGTCTGCGCGCATCCCGAAGCCTCACCAAGGAGCAGCACGCAAGCGGCCTCCAGACTCGGGAACGTATGCTTGCATGGGAGTGGGGTGGGCGTGGCCCAGCCCGAACGGAAATCTAGACTTCCCGCAAGCCGGGACTCGTCTGCAAGACATTTCGGCCCCGCGCTGTTTGAAAAGGCTGACGAGGAAGGGAGAATCATGCAGATAAACTTGCCAGAATCCAAGAACGCCAGCCCAGTGGGCCAGAGGCGTGCTCAAACCTCTGGTAACACGCTTAGATCTACTTCACACGCGGGGGGGGCCTGGAGGGCGAAAGAACCCTGCAGGCGGTCATCGTCACGGATGCCCGTCAAGGAATCGCATGCCCCAAACATGGCCAGAAGACAATCCCAAAAGATCCCAAAGGGCATCATGCGAGTCCCCAGAATAACCCAAGATAGCCCAAAGAGAGATGTCGGAGGCCAAACATGTTGCTGAGGTGCTTGAAAGATATATGGTGTCACTGCCTCCCACACGGCCAAAGCTGACCCGCCCCACACGGCCAAAGCTGACCCCAAGATCGCCCCTAGGCGTCCCCCGATGCTCACAGGACGGCCACAACAGGCCGCAGAATTTCCCCCAAAAATGCCCCCGCGAACACGCAGGTAATAAAGTGCCACCAGTGCCACAATATGGGCCAGCGGAATGAGCGAAGCGATCCGCAACCCCACCAAATACGGCGTGTGAGACTAGGGGAATAAAAAGTGGCATAAACACAACAACTCGGAGGTCCGCGCGGATTTCTCGGATCGGCGCCGGGGCCTCCCGGCGGCGCCAGGGAGGGGGGTTCAGCGCCGATCCGAGAAATCCGCGCGGAACTCAGAGTTTTTGTGTTTATGCCACTTTTGTTCCCCTAGAGACCACCACCGCATGATCTGCGAGGACTGCTTCCCGCGAGGCTTCTCACCAACGCGCTGTTCATACCTATCCTTGCCTCTGACCCTCGCCCAAACCCTTCCTGGGGTCCTCCCCGGGCTCAGTGGGCCCCGGAAACGTGGTCATTCAGTAGGGATAGGAAAAACAGAAGATTAGAAAAATCACATCTCGGCGGCGAGCCCCAGGGTGGGAAGTCAGAAGGGGCGGGCCTGCTCAGAGTGCTCGGAATGCACCCGGCTTTCTGAGCAGTGTTCTGAGCCTTCCCCGCAGACAGAGACAGCCTCTGAGAAGGCCGGGGCTTAGTGGGCCCCGAAAACCGCAGGGCCGTTTTTCCACCGTTTCCGAAAAGTGCCCCTTGAAAATGGAAGCGGCAAAAAAACGGCGACCGGAAACAGCAACAGAAACGGCTCCAGGATCGGAACTGGGGCCAGAACCGGTCACAAAACAGCGACGGAACCGGTAAAAAAACGGCGTCGGAACCGGCAAAGAAAACGCAAACGGCACCGGTAAAGAAACGGCGCTGTCGTTTCCAGGGCCCACTAAGTCCCCGGGGACCGTTCATTCTGCCATCCCGGTGGCCTCGGGCGCTGCCAGGGCGCACTCTGGTCAATTTCCGTGCCAAAACGACCCCCGCTGCTGGAAAGAATGAACCCGGCCACCCTTCTCGGCAGCTCAACGCGAGCTGGAAGCGAGCGGGCACACTCATATTCAGCCTCCCAGTATACCAATGCTGGCCACGCGATGGCCCTCGAGTGCGAGCGGGCACGCCTGGAGTGCGCTCCTCGGCAAAAGCCTCGGCAACAGACCTGGAAATGCGATGTACGTCGTGAGCGAGCCGGCACGCTCAGGACGCGCCTCCTGCCTCCGCCCTCCGACCTCGCCCTCCGCCCTCCGCCCCTCCGCCCTCGCCGCGTCGACCTCGACCTCGGCCTCGGCCGCGCCGCCCGCCGCCGCCGAGCCCTCGCCCTCGCCCTCGACCCTCCGCCCTCCGACCCTCCGACCCTCCGCCCTCCGCCCTCCGACCTCGCCGTCGCCCTCGACCCCGGCCTCGTCGCCCGTCGCCGCCGAGCCCCGCCACTGCCGCCGAGCCTCGCCGCCGCCGCCGTCGCTGCCGCTCTCGTCGTCTTGCTCTGGTGCGGCGCGCTCCTGACGCCGCAGGGATCGTTCAGCCTTGAACGATCGGCCGTCTCCGAGACGTCCAACTCGCTCCACGCCGACCGATTCTGGGTCGCTGGCGGCGTTCGGTGTTGCACGGCGGCGGCGGGGACACCCCCCGGTCGACACGCCGCGAACCTGCCGCACACACCCCATGGGGCCACAGGACCAGCTATGCTCGCCCTGGACAGTGCTTCGGACGGTCCCGGGGCCCCGCGGGGGCCCTCGACGCCGAGGATGGCGAAGAACCTCCGTTGAGCTGCTGTTCCCCGCGTCGAAGGTCTGGGCTGCCCTCCTCGTCCTCGGCCTCGTCGACCTCGCCGTCGGCGTCGCCGTCGGCCCCGTCGTCGATCTCGTCGTCGGCCTCGCCGCAGCCTCGCAGCGGCCGCGGTCCTCCGAGGCGCACGGGCAGGCCCGCGAGCAGCCCCTCGGCGGCACGACGCGGAAGGCCCTGCACTTGAGAAGCCTCGTCAGCCTGCGGGGCGCGCGCGCGAGGCCGCCTCCCGCCGACACGCCCTCGCCGCCGCGGCCTGCCGCAGCCCGCGGGCGCCGCGGGCGCCGCGGCCCGCCGCCGCCGCGTCGTCGCAGTGGTCGTCGTGGCGGTGGTCGCCGTCGGTCGTGGTTGCGGTCGTCGCCGCTGTCGTGATCGTCGCCCGTGGTCACTGTGGTCATCGTCGCCGTGGCCGTCGCTGGGGTCCTGGTCGCACTCGTCGTCGTGGTCGCCGTGTTCGTCGTCGTGGTCGCGGTCGTCGCCGCGGTCGCCGTTGTCGCCCATGGCCGTCGCAGTCGACATCGTCGCGGTCGTGGTTGTCGTCGTGTTCGGAGTCATCGTGCTGGATGCGGTCGTGATCGTCGTCGTTATCGTCTCCGCGTTGTCGTAGTCTTCATCTTCTTCCCTTGACCTCAGTACGGGCCAAGACGGCCCCACGACAATCCAAGATGTCCGCAAGAGGGCCCAACAAGTCTCCAAGACGGCCCACGAGGGCTCCAAGAGGACTCCCGAGAGCGCATCCAGATGCCAAATCATGTGGGTTCCAGAAGTCTTTGGAGGATTCTAGCGTTCTCGCCATTTTCGACCCTCAGGGGCGGATGGCGGCCCAAGCAGCCTCCAAAATGGCTCTTGAATTGCCCAACGACCCTCAAGAGGGCCCCCAAGACGGTCCAAGAGGGCCCCAAGACTGCCCGAAGAGGCCCCAAAGACCCCCCCCAAGGCGGCCCAAGAGCCCCCCCAAGGCGGCCCAAAGCAGCCGCGACAGGCCCACAGGATGGCCTCCAAAAGGGGCTAAACGGCGCAAGATCACCCCATGACGGCCCAAGATGCCCCCAAGAGGACCAAAAGAAGCCCCGAAGAAGCGCCAAGAAAGCCCCAAGGGGCCCAGCAGAGCCCCGAAGAGGCCTCCAAGAGGCCCCAAAGAGGCTCCCACCAAGACCCGCAACGACTTGATTGTACATGCTCTGGACGTGCACCCCGCCCAGCGAGAGGAATCTTTCCAACACCTTAGGGACATTTTTTTTTTGTTCCACCCCAAGCTCCAAGCACGATGAAAATTGCCGGCTTCCCAACTGATGGGAAGGGGACTCCACCAAGCTGAAACTGGAGACTGCAGAGCGGGGAGAGGAGGAAGGACCGGGGGGAGGAAGAGGAGGACGAAGGGGAGGAAGGACCGGGGGGAGGAAGAAGAGGACACCTTAGGGACATCTATAATGCTGGCCCTCGCGCCCGTTTGTTTCCGATGGCCCCAAAAGAAACCAAAGATGGCCCCCAGACGGCCCAAAGAGCTCCACAAGAGCGCCTTAAGAGGGCCCCAAGAGGGGACTTCGGGGGCTCCAAAGGCGGGGTGCTCATTGAGGACCCTTCTTCTGTGATCGATGTCCTCCAAGATGCTCCCAAGCAGGCCTCCAAGGCCAAGAGGGCCCCAAGAGGGCCCCAAGAGGCGCCCTTAGCGGACCGAAGAGACTCCCAAGACGCCCCCAAAAGGCTCCCAAGCGGCCCTAAAGAGGCCCCACGAGGTCCCACATTCCTGAACAGCGCAACTCGCGTATCTAGAAGTCTGATTGCTCTCAAGGTCGCAGTGGACACGTGTGTGTGTGTGTGTGTGTTTGTGTGTATGTGCCTGCATTGAGTTCCTTTCGGCGCAGTCTGGAGCACGCGTGGCAACAAAAACCACAACACCCCCCACCCCCTCCAGAGCTCCTCGGCGATCCTGCAGCCCGTGGGGCCCTCTGGGCCCGTGACCGAGCCCATGGGCTCCTTTGCCGGCGAAACGACGTAAGGTACACATCGAGACCTCCGATGATACCAGAAAGCTCTCAAGCTGTGATTGCACAACTTTCCGCCTGGCTCTAGGACGTGTCTTTTGACTTCTAGATTCGAGACTCGGCGGCTACGGTTCGCAACCTGTATACCTGCAGAAACTCAAGCAAATCACGTGCACTCACGAGCTGTAATGGCAACATTGCTCGGCTCAAATGTTTTTTCTCACACCATCACCGAATCGGATAACCGAATTGGATCGGAAAATGCTCAGGGCCGGACCGAATCGGCACGGGGCTGGGACCGAATCAGACCGGCTGCCCCAAGATGCGTCACGGCGCCATGCGGGCATCGGACCACATGGAATGGCCAGGACTGGAATCGAGAAGGGGGCCTCCGCTGGATGGACCCCGCGAAAATCGGCTAAGATGGGGGAAACGAAAGCAAATTCGCTCAACATCGGTCCCTGGTGGTGGGCGTGTTTTCCACCACCGCTACCATAAGTGGGAGGGGGAGGGGGTCCTCCTCCTCCTCCTCCTCCTCCTCCTCCTCCTCGTCCTCCTCCTTATCCTCTACCTCCTTCCTCCCTCCAACTTATGGTGGTGGTGGTGGAAAACAGGCCCATGACCTGGACCCCTCCCTCCTGGGTCGAAAAAAAGGGTAAGTGTTTCGAGCCGCGCCCCGCCGTGGCGACGTGGAGGCCCCGTCCTCCCCCTTCCTGCTGGCCGCAGCCAGTGCTGGGCAACCTCCATCCCCCAGTGGGGAGACCTACGGCTCGGTATGCGCATGCTGGTGGGAGGAAGAGGAGGAGGAGGAGGAAGAGGAGGAGGAGGAGCAGGAGTGAGGGAGGAGGCAGGAGGGAGGGGGGAAGCAGCAGGGAGGAGGGAGGCATGCGCTGCCCCCGGTGCTGGTGCGCCTGGCGCACGCTGCCCCCTGCGCGCAGCAGCCGACACGGCAGCGATCCGGAGGCGGCCGCTGGCGGCCGCCGGCGGGCGCCAGACGCCGCCCGCCGCCAGCCGGCGCAGCCCCGCCCCGAGGGCACGGTCGGCGGCGTGGACGTCGGCGGCCAGCCATTTTCGAGGATCCGAAAATTAGGCGAGCGATTTCAAGATCTCCGTTTTTGGAGGACTTCTCCAGCGAAACGCCCACTGTTAGCAACACACGTTTCGAGATACGACCCCCAAATTCACGATGTCGTGAGGATGTCTCGAGCGAATGCGGCCCCGCCGCTCGCCCTCCGTTTTTTTTGCAGTCCCGAAGCGGTGCGGCGACACGCCGTGCGGAGGCCTCGAAAGCCCCCAAGGCCTCACCACGCGGTGACCGTCGCCGCACGGTTTTTTGGGACCCCGGAGGCCCCTGTCACCCGAGACGCCCTCGGAGAGGGGCCCGAGTCCCAAAACCGTGCGGTGACCGACTCACCGCACGGTGTGGTCACCGCCCGTTTAGGGGCCCCCGAGTTCTTGTTCGCCGCAAAGCTCAGGCGGCGAACCGGACGAAATCGGTCCAAGAGGACGGTCAGCATCGGGTGGGATCGGCAATCGAAACCCGAAGCTCGAAAGCCCATCGCGCCGAGATCGGATCGGGCCAGAATCTCAGGAGCGTCCCAAGAGGGGGGCGTGGAACATGGGGGGGCGCAGCTCATGGCCAGCGGCACGTGCGAGGCCCAGGGGGGGGGACCAGGGACGTGTTGATATAAGAAAGGCGCCAAAACATCTGGGGAGATAGCTTGCCCCCCGCCATGAGATCCCACCCTACTCATCGCCTCCCTGGCTGGCGCCCCAGAAAATCGAAATCGCATCAAATCGACATCGCATCGACTCGATCGAGCCAGGATGGGCGCCTGGATCTTTGTTGCTTTTTGTTTCTGGATTGGCCGGCCGGGTAGACGTCACCACAATCAGAGGGAAAGGGAAGAGGAGGGGGAGGAGGAGGAGGAGGAGGAGGAGGAGGAGGAGGAGGAGGAGGAGGAGGAGCAAAGATTAACCAAATTGCGAAAGATACGAAGCAGCCCTATAACGTATCATCCCCTGGTCTGCCAGAGCGTTAGGATACGAATCAGCCCAGGATGGTCGCCTGGAGTGTTCCAGCCCGCCGCCCGTTGCGCAGGAGAGCGGGGGCGCGCGGGGGCCGCACCCCAGGACCCGCTCGGAGGGCTCGTAGACCGCCATCGCCTGCGGTGCGGCGCGATGCAGAGAAGAAGAGGCTCCTCCTCTTCCTCCTCATCCTCTTCCTCTTCCTCGGCCGGAGTACACTGGAACGCAAAAGGGCGTACGCGTCGGTCGGAACATGTACGTCAACGCATGAAGTAGGACGGCAGATAAAAAGTAGGTTGGGTTCAGGCCCGCCCAGACGATAGCCAAGCGCAGCAAAAGCAGATCGGCTCTTAAAGTAGGAGGACACTAGAAGCGGATTGGGATATGGGAAACCAAAGCATTCCTGCTATCAACGACCGGCGCGTGGTGGCACGATTTGCTGATGTTGGAGCGCACGTCCGACACGGACGTGCAATACATAAGCCCTATAACACATCGACGCCCGAGCGGCATGGCCAAAAAGCGCCCGCCACGGAGCTTACACGAATAGCTCTCCTTGGCGTCCGCGACGCCTGTGCGAGGCCGACGCACACACAATGTTGGCACGCCCGACATGGGTTAGGAGGCACCTCAGGGGAAGTCTTTGCAGGCACGATCGAGGACGATTCGGCCCGACAACGGGAAACACTGAACCAAATTAGACCGAAACGAGCGGGGGACCGAACCGCGCGCAGAGCACGCAAGCGTACGAAGTACTGCATCGCAGCACTATCATGACATTTGTCCCCCTTTAGGAGGTCTTGAACCATCAAAAATGGGTACTGCATTAATTTCTGTGTTGCTTGGATACGGGCGAACATGGGCACGATGCCCAATGGCAAAGTGTCGCGCCAGCGTGTGATTAACAAATCCGTGGGGGCGCGTCATTAAAAAATATTATCCCTGCTCGGGCGAATCGCGGCGTGGCGCCCGCCAGCTTGAAAATCAACGGGGCGGCGCCGGTGATTAGCGCCGACGCCCGACCGCCAACGAGGGGCACGAGGGGGTGTTTGGAGGCAAGGGCGACCCAGGGCGCCCCTCTTTCTGTCGAGCCGATGCGGGCTTGCGGGCAAGGCGGGCTGGACGGAAGCTGGGCGCAGCAACGGGGAGATTTGCCAAGCAGCTCGCGTCGCCGATTTTCCAAGCGCCCCCTGGCGCCGAAAGCGGCCATGCGTCGAGGACTGGTCCTTCGGCGGGGCGACCGCAACCAGCTGCGCGCAGCAGGCTTTGCAACCCCTCCTTTTTCCTTCGCCAGCTTTCCGTCCGACCCGAGCACAACGGGTACTCCTCCTCCCCCCCTTTGTCGCCGTCGTCGCTCGTCGCCGCCGTCCCCCGCCCTGCCTGCGCCCGTTTCCAGCGAAGCTCTCTTCGTCGACACCGACGACGCCGACGACGGGCGAAGACGAAGACGACGGACGGCGGACGGCAGACGGCGGCGACGACGACGACGCACTGCAGATGCCCTATAGGGGGGGGTGCTGCGCAGGCCCGCTGTCGTCGACGACGACGACGGGACGACGACGACGACGACGACGACAAGGACGACGAAAAAGAACACGACGACGACGACGACGATGGCGGACGACGACGACGCCTGAGAGGGGGAACGAAAATCCGCCGCGGCTACGACCCTTATAACAACTTCTATACGAAAGGAAATCGTTTCGAGGCTGTGATTATACGATCCCCTCGGCGGCGCCAGCAACGACCCCCTGGAGCGCGTGATTAAAAGCAAGGTTTCGTGCCCCACGGGGTCTATTCATTAGCCCCAGGGGGGGCGCGGGTTGGCCTTGTGTTAATGTGAATCACAAGCTGACACTATCGAGAACCAACGACGTCTGCTTTTGGCCTCCAAATCGACTTGGACCAGCACCACCGCGTCCCCTCTGGCCAGCAAAAGGCGCTTGTGACGACACCTGCGTATTCCGAGCCAACCAGGGGTAACCAACACGTCAAGATGCAACTTGAGCCTGGCTTGCGTAGACGAACACCTCTCGCTCCGCACGGTCACCTCTTGCGCTTCACACCTTGTCTTTCACTCGCGGGTGTCACTCCCGCATGTTCGGCCTTTTCCTTCAATGCATCTTTCCCGCATCCCTGGACAGAGCCCGAGTGCGAAGGGGCCCCAGGACACACACACACACAAATACATACACACAAATAAACAGATTCCCCATATTTTCCCATATGTCTGGGGCTTTCGTCTTCCCCCCCGCTTCCCATAGTTTCCCATATTTTCTGGGGAATCGCAATTCATTGTGTCTTGTGTTTCTTTCCCTCCTGAGAGTGGCTCCCCACCAAAGCATCGCACCCCACATGACGCCACTCCCCGCCAGCTTCGACCATCACAGCGCCGCGTGGACGGAGAAATTGGCTCTGCCCCTGGACTACCATGTTAATGAAGGGCCCCAGGACACACAAATGAATACACACAAATAACAATGTTTCCCATATTTTCCCATATTTTCTCGGTTTCTGTCTTCCCCCCCACTCCGATATTTTCCCATATTTTCCTGGGATCGACGATTAATTGTGTCTGTGTTTTGTTCCCTCCTGAATTAAGAGACGCCGTCTTGCAAACCGTGCGGAACATGAAAACAATTCAGCCCGGCTGAGGGGCTGGTCGGTCGGACCACGACGAACTGAGCGAAGAGCCGAGTCCGATGGGGCCGGACAAGGTAGATCAGATTGGGGGGGCGTCGCCCAGATCAGGCAAGCTTCCGACCACGGGCATCTGAGGCCGCCAAAACGGTGTCAGCTTAGATGGGGTCGAAGGATCGTACCGCATCGCCGACTCATCGGCGACGGCGGGATGCCCCAAACCGCGTAGCCTCGCCGATGCATCGGCGATGCGGCGCGATCCTCCGACCCCATCTGCTCGAACAATTTTGGGGCGGCCTGGAGATACCCCAATGTGGGCGATTAATGAAAATTGCCCACGAGTCGCAGCCTACACCACCAACTCTTCAGCGTGCGACTTCGGCACAGATAAACCGTTCTGCGATCGGAGTCGCCTGTCCCATGGCGGCTGGGAAAGTTCCCCCCCGTCTGCCTCAGCAGGGGTGCAAATTTCCACGTCGCCATGGGACAAGCGACCTCAATCGCGGAACACTTTAGTATATAGACCGCTCCTTGCCCGCTGGAACTCATCAGAAGGATCCCAAAGTCGTCTTGAACGCAAACCACGGCAGGCCTCCGCGCGCCCGGCTCGCAGCTGGGAACGGGGCACAGACAGGCCGACGAGATCATCCAGACTGTTGCCGCCTCCAGGCCTGATGGAGGACTGCATCCCAAGGCAGGCCTGAAATGAATATCATCGCAACGTAAGGATCGGATCGGAAACGGATCGGATCGCCAACAAATCGTCCCGAATCGAATCGAAACCGGTCGGATAGAGGCGTCCAGCTGCGGCTGGCTCCGGCCGACGCTGGCTACATCAAGCCGAATGGGAATCGGGCCCTGGTCGCCGAATCGAACCTGATCGAATAGGATCGTAGGCAGCCCAGACTGTGGCTTCGGCCACCCAACTCTGCTTGCCTGCCCTGGCAAGAGAGTGGGTACACCTACTCGCTCGACTCTTCCCCCGCGCTATTGCGGCGCGCTTCCCTGCAGGCCAAAAATGCGCTCTGACTGCGAATACTGAGATCACTATCAGGGAAACGTAAAATTCCTGTTCGGGGGACTGGGGTTGGCCTGACGGGGACGCGAACTCCCGCTGTCAAAATCCATAACGGCCCGCCAACAGCGTCGGCAAATCCGAATTCCGGCGTACTCGAAATTTAGTTTTTCTCATAAATTGGTGAGGGCTGCGCTCTGATTGCGCCAATTGAGATCATGACGCGCCGGTCGGAAGGATTAGGTATGTCAAAAACATGAAATAAGGATGCGGGTGAAATAGATTGGGCACAAGCCCTCCGGGATAATCGAACAAAAACACGGCAAAAGCGGATCGATCATGAAGTAGAAAGGCACTTGAAGTAGCTAGGGATCAAGGAATCCCGCAATAACTACTTTCAACGACTGGCGGGTAGCTGAGAGGGATGAGGCGTCGACGCCCGGCATCGCCTTCATGCGATCGGAGGGCACCTTCTCGGGGTCGCAGGGGCTGAGCAGGAGGTCCTGCGCGGATGCTCTGGCTGTATATCGTCGGCTCCCAGATCCCTACGTGTAGTACCTCCACGGTTGTCGGATATTTACGGGTACGTCCACAAATCTCAAAAAAATATCGATTCATCATCATCCGATTGTATCCTCGTCGTAACTTCGTCTCAGACAGCCGCGCAAACTCGCGGGTCTACCTACGCATAATCTAAAATTGGCGGCGAGCCCAAGGGGCACGTTAGAAGGGGCGGGCCTTCTCAGAAAGCTCGACCCCCCGCTGCATCCTGAGAGGTTTCGTGAGCTTTCCCTGAAGACACAGACAACTGCTCAGGATGTCCGAGGGCTTCTGACAAGCCCCGCCGTCTGAGAAGGCCTCCTACTATTCACTTCCCCCACTCGCCCGCCACCGGATCTTAGCTGATGCAAAGTCTGAGCATACGGGTCCTGGGTGGCATGGATCCTAAAACGTTTTGACAATCGTCTGGCCCCTTGGGACACCCACAGGTCCTGAAGAAAAAACCCGCGGTGCAAGACCCAACTCAAGGTTGGCTCCATTCGTATCGTTCATGGCGACAGTTCGCACTGGCATCGGCAATGAAACGTCCCTGGCCGATTTGCCCACCAGACAAAGAGACAAGCTGCCAAATTCTGGGAAAACTTAAACCGGCACGCCCGGCTGGACCGAATCTGATCGGGGAAAGGGCATACCACAGACATTGCGAACAGGTCCTTGCCTTCCTAGCTTGCAACCAGGAGCCAGAGCGGGCCGCGAGAACAAATACTGGAGTAGGAATGGGAGGGGTGCGGGCAAGGGGTCCACCGCCGACCCTAGACAATCGAGCTGGTCTGTGCGATGTACTATAGATAGGTACGCATACATACATGCACACACAAAAAGACATACTCATATACATACATTTATACACACCTATACCTACACCTACACATATGCATACACATATTTACACACACGCATACAAACATACATGCATGCGTGCATACGTGCATGCGTACATACACACATACATACATAAACACCTCTGCATATGCAGAAAAAAGAACCACGATCTTTCGGGGGGGGCACGCCAATTTGTTGGGTGAGGGGCTGGACCGCTCTCCCCAACGCGCGAAACGAGACGGAAACCGCGCTTGAGGCCGCGCCCGATGCCGCGCCGGAGACGCTTCCGGGGGGATCCAGCGCCGACCCAGAAATACGTTAGATCTCTGCTCTCAAAACTCCGACGTCGTTTTTTCTCACACTGTGGAACCCCAGAGATCTGGAGCCCCTCCTCTAACCAGGGCGCGGCGAGGGCCTGCAGAGTCTGGAAACGGCGAAACACCGTCGATATAGTTGTTTGTTTCGTAGGTGTGCGGATAATGCCTTTTTGTCGAGACGGCTGTGAGGATGGTGGAAAAGATGGCGGTGGTAGAGGGGCGCCTCTGCCCTAGGTGACGCTGTCTTCTGAGAAGACCAGTGTTGGCTTCACCATGTCGTGTTACTCTTCTGGGGCCGCCGCATGTTCAACGTTTCCTCTGAACGCGCATTTTCAATACGTTGGAGGTCTTGGTTAATGTTGCTGCACGTCCCTGGATGTGTGCTGCCTGTTGGCTCTCGCAGCGAGGGGGCCTCGCTGCCGGAGCCGGCCGCGCAGGAGGCGACTCGCTTGGGCCGACGGCGGGAAGACGACGCCCTCGAGGCCCACCGACAGGCAGCAGCAGGGGCGGGGCTAGATCAGGGGGTCGGAAGCCGGGCAAGGGTTGCTAAATCCGTTGCTGCTAAGATCGACCTGGAAGTTGTCTTCGTCCTTCCGGGAAGATACCCATTAACTGTTTCGCGTGCCGCGCCTCATTCCTGGGAGTTTTTTTTTCTCTTCCGGGAGGGCTGTTTTAGCATCCACGATTTTGGCAGCCCTCGCCCAGCTTCCGAGGGGGGGAGAACCATCAACCTTGAACCGGCGATACATGACGAACCAGCAACACACACCCATACCCATAGAGGGGTCGGAGAGGGCCATGGGTGCGTGTTGTTGGATAGGGGTCCCCGCTCGAACGGGAGCGTTCCCCAGGGTCCGACAACCCGCACCCATACCCATAGCCAGTCCTCCTCCCAACGACCCCCCTATGGGTATGGGTGTGTGTTGCTCGTTCGTCAGATACATCGCCGATGGATCGGCGACGGGCCACCCTTTGCGAGCCAGCACGTGTTTCGGCCGGCAGATCTCAAGAGCGGACCTCCCAGCCCGCCCGCCCTGACTTCCGCGGCTGCCCCTGCATGCCGCGGCCGCCAGATCCCCAGGCTCTGGACAATTCCTGGTGGTCCCGCCCCCCCACCCGCCCTGCATGCCGCGGCCGCCAGATCCCCAGGCTCCACATGATCCCCAGTGGTCCCGCCGCCCGCGCCGACTCGCACACGCTGCATACCGAGGCAGCCAAATCCCCAGGTCCCCGGGAATCCCTGAGGGTCCGGCCCCTCGCGCCGACTCGCCCACTCTGCATACCGCGGCCACCAGATCTCCAGGTCCCCCACAGAACAGAGCGTAACACCACACCGCCGAACAGAACATATCCGAGCTTAACATACCATGCCATGACAGACCAGATCGTAACATGACATACCATGACAGAGGGGTGCATATAATAGCACAGCATCACAGCACAGTTCATTCCACAACATGGTAAACCAACCATACCATGACACAGCAACGCAAAACTGGACATACCAAAACATAGCATGTCTCAGCATCGCATAACATGGCATAGCATAAACGCAACACAGCATAACAACGCCTGCTATGCCAGCTCGGGTATACATACCATAACATGCCATACCATAACATACCACAACATAATATAACATGCCATAACATGGCATCCCAAACCATCACATTATTGGCAGAACAAACCACACCATAACACATCATCACAACACATATCATTCCAGACTCTGACAAAACACAGCATGACGAAGGTTCCGGTGGGGATCGCTCGAAGCAAACTGATGGTCATGTTGATTTCGTCTTGCGAGAACAGTCCACCAACTGTCCACAGTAGCCAATCCCTCTGATGCCGAACGAACACAAAACGAACACGGTCCACGGCATCGGCAAAACACCGTTTAGCTCTTAGCTCGAGACCCGGAGTGGGCTGTCGGGCCCCCTTTGCGATGCATGGGAGACTTCGGCGGTCGATGCGTCCCCCGCCGAACCAGTCCACCCCTGTAGAACGCTGCCCCTGGCCTCGAGGCCGACCGAGAGCCAAACCCGGGCGCAGCTTGCACAATGTGGCCGCCAGAGCGAAGGCCGTGAAAACTGCAGTCAACTTTCGCGACATCAAGACAGAACTTAAGAATGAAAAGACCCTCGGAGACGCAAAAAAAGCAGAGGATGCGAGCGCCGAACCGTGCTAAGGATGGCCAGGCACGAAGGCTGCACGGTGTCCATGCGACAACGGCCCATCCTCAACGTACGGCCGATATAGTTTGGGCCCAGATGTCGCGCCACGTCGCCGACGCATCGTCGATGCACTGGCGACCTTGGGGATGACGGACAAGCACCGAGCTTCAGATAACGCCACACTGGCGATGCGGCACGATCCTCCGCCCCCGTCTAGCCCTGTTTACAGGGGGGGGAGGAGGACTCCAAGGAGGAGGAGGAGGAGGAGGAGGAGGAGGAGGAGGAAGACACATCGACCTCGGGTGCCTGTTTACGGGGGGGCAACAAGCACTTGGGGTGACAAATGCGTGCAGCGCTCCTGCGCCGCCTGGGCCCGCGGTGGCAATCCAGGGGCCGCCTGGGCCCCCATTCAGGGCCACTCTCCTGCAATCCTCGACGCTCCCACGTGTAGTGCCCCCCCGCCACCCCCTGGGCTGGCCAGCCCCGCGGGCCGCGGCCAGCCGTGCACACGATCCCCTCCCCGACGCACGGAACATGCTCAGAGCTTCCCCTGGCCCCCCCTCCCCCAACCCCTGGCCCAACCCGGGCGGGACCCTGCCAACGAGCCAAAACAGCGTCACAAACAGGAGCATCATGGCATACAGATGTCCGAGCCGCGTCCAGTCTAGCCGTAGCCGAGAGGGCAGTCCGAGGCCTCCCCCCTGATGGGCCAATTCTCCACCACCACTGACATAGGTAGGACGTGGAAGAAGGGAGGATACGTAGGGGAGGAGGTCCTCCTCCACCTCCTCCTCCTCCGCCTCCTCCTCCTCCTCACCATCTTCCTCCTCATCATCATCCTTCCCTCCTTTTTCTCCTTTCCCTCCTCTTTTTCTTCCTCCTTCTCCTCCTCCTCCTCCTCCTCCTCCCTCCTCCTCCTCCTCCTCCTCCTCCTCTCCTCCTCCTCCTCCTCCTCCTCCTCCTCCCTCCTCCTCCTCCTCCTCCTCCTCCTCCTCCTCCTCCTCCTCCTCCTCCTCTCCTCCTCCTCCTCCTCCTCCTCCTCCTCCTCCTCTCCTCCTGCCCCCCCTCCTCCCTCCTCCTCCTCCTCCTCCTCCTCCTCCTCCTCCTCCTCCTCCTCCTCCTCCTCCTCCTCCTCCTCCTCCTCCTCCTCCCTCCCTCCTCCTCCTCCTCCTCCTCCTCCTCCTCCTCCCCCCCCCCACCCCAGAACTCAAAAGAACCTCGAGGGTCTCCCCCTCCCTTCCGGCCCCCCTCGGGCAGACCAGGCCAGGGCCCGCCCGGTGAGCCCCGAGGCACGCCTGCGATGGACCGCCTCGCGACGTCGCAGCGGATCGGAAACGCATCGGATCGCCAACGCATCGCCCCGATGAATCGCATCGGATCGGATCGCCAACGAATCGCCCCAAATCGGATCGGATCGGAAACGGATCGGAAACGGATCGCTTACGAATCGCATCGGATCGGAAACGGATCGGATCGCCAACGAATCGTCCCAAATCGGATCGCCGCGCCTGGCTCCGCGCGGCCCCCGCCGAGGAATCGAGTCGAATCGTAAGCGCGGCCCAGGCCGGCGAAACGAATCGCATCGCATCGGATCGTAGACGGTCCTGAAAAGCCTCTGCCCAAAACCC